ATCTATCTATCTATCTATATATCTATCTATCTATCTATCTATCTATCTATTTATCTATCTATCTATCTATCTATCTATCTATCTATCTATCTACCTACCTATCTACCGATCTATCTATCTATCTATTCTCTAGCAAATCTGGGCAGCGACCTTTGATTTATTGATCTACCACCCCATGATATTTTTAATGTATTTTTTTTTCCTATCAGTGAATAAATCACGTGTTTCAGATTACTCCTGAACGGGCAGTCTACAGTTGAACCTGCTCTAACGGCCACCTGTCCAAGACAGCCACCTGTACAAACAGCCAGTTCTCACTTCCCCCGTAGCGTCTTTTTGTATCTTATAATGCCACTGTCCTAGACTTTCACCTGTCTAAGACAACCACATATCTCCTCCACATTTGGTGGCTGTCTTTAACAATTTCGACAGTAACTCAAAGACCTTTTTATCATTCCTAGCTATGACTTTGATATAATATGATAATCATCGTTTATTCCATGTTGAAGAAGAAAACATGTACGAAAAAAAAATACGTCTTTGTAGAAGATTGTATTTGTTCAAAGGACATGACTGTGACTATTCCTTGGCAAACGTAGTATGTTTAACCACGTTTCTTTTCCATTCTCCAGGCGCCATGTTCCACTTGAGGATTGAAACCACTCCCTATCGGACTACCCCACGAGTATTAAGAGACACCAGCCATAGCTGAAGATTGAACAATGAGTTGGAGCTGTCAACGCAAACCGAAGAGACAACAACAACAGCAACAATAACAACAACAGCAACAACTACAGACAAACAAATAAGTTGGCCGTTGGAATCCAAAGTAGAAGGCGCAGAACACTTCAGCGTCCAGCAACCATGTCCTTCTAATGTGTAGCTTCAAGCGAGTGAGCACGATAGTCACCCCTGGAAGGAAGCAGAAAGAATAGGCAACATTAGATGTTCTACATAACCTCAACAAATTAATTCATCATAAATAATGAAACAATTGCAGATTATTATAAATTATAAATAATAATGCATATTACGATAATAAGATATGTATGTATATATTTTTCATTTGTATTGTGAATAATAATAAATAAATTATAATAAATAATAAAATATCGATAAAAGTATGTTATATACGCCACTTTTCAACCTGGATCGCTTTTCAAACCTGAAGATGACCTGTTGAAACAACATTCTAGCGCCATTTTGGATTTGTTCTGAGTGCCTGTGATTGGAGCATAATATCTGACGTCCACCATGTTGATTTTCGGGGCTTACGAAGGTCAAAGGTTGACCTTGGAGGTCCCGGTCGGGATGACGGTGAAGGCTCTGAAGGAGGACATACAAGAGAGGCTGGGCATCTCTGTGGACCAGTACAAGTGAGTTTGATGTCTCTTTCTGCCTATACATTAACTTTCCATATATTTAACTGCATGGTTTTAGTTTAGTTTTAGTAGAGGTTTTACTGCGCTCGCAACTTCATAAGGTCATATGAGCGCCAACTGTATGGTTTGATTATAAACTCAGTATGTATGTTTGTGTGTGTGCGTGTGTTTGTGTATGTGTGTGTGTATGTGTGTGTTGTGTGTGAGTGTATGTGTGAGTGTATGTGTGAGAGAGGGGGAGAGAGACAGAGAAAGAGTGAGAAAGAGAGAGAGAGGGAGAGAGAGAGAAAGAGAGAGAGAGAGGGGAGAGAGTGTGTGTATACTGCATGTGTGTGTGAGAGAGAGAGGCAGATAGAGAGAGATATAGATAGAGAGAGAGAGAGGGGGTTTGCAAGTGCGAGAGAGAAAGAGAATGTGTGTGTGTGTGTGTGTGTGTGTGTTTGTGTGTGTGTGTGTGTGTGTGTATGTGTGTGTGTGTCTGTGTGTAGTGTGTGTGTGCGTGGGGGAGGGGGGGGTACATAATATGTATTTGCTTGGCATTTTCTGTGGATCAGCACAAGTGAGTTTTAGTGCTGCTTTTATCTGTTCATACTGTTTCTGTATCTTTCTACCGCTATGTTTATCCTCCCTTGTATTTATCTGTGTGGTTTTTAATTTGTGTAGAAGTTTGCAGGTGCAACATGATAAGCTCATATTAGTGCAGAATATTACAGATGTTACAAGTGAGTAACAAACACAAAAAAGAAGTTGGAGAGATAAGGGCGATAATTCTTTGATAGGAAAGAAGGAGTAAACCACATCAGAGCGCCCCTAACCTCCCACGCTTCTATCTCTATGCATTTTGTCTGTGCCCGTACAAGTGAGTTTTGGGTGTTCTTCTAGCTCTCTATATTTTGTATGTATCAGTAAAAGTAAGTTATCTTTGTGCTGCTATTTATCTATATTATTTCTGTATCTGCCCAAGTGAGAATTGCTTGTGTTTCTTTCTATCTACATTTTTTTCCTGTATCAATACAAGTTAGTATTGGTTGTGTCTCTATCTCTCTATGTGAGGAAAAAAGGGAAGAGAAGGCCTTGTGTTTGAATGCATTAACGTATCATCGGTGTTTGATTTTCGTATCTCATTTAACCTCTCACGTTTTCATTGGGGTCTTGAAAAATACGTGATTCCAACAGAACCCTAGCTACAAAAAAAGCTCACTTTCGTTTTCCATCTGAGTCGGACAAGAATCATGGCCTGAAATATCGATCTGTCGATTAACCGATTTCGATTAGAGACATGTTCTGTGTTTGTTCTTGTTTTTGTTTTGTTCTCTTTGAAGCCCTAAACCCCCAGACATTCTGTTTCTTTCATGTTTCTGCGACGTTAGAGTCAATAATGAGTTTCTGAAATCCCGGATGTGTTTTGTGGTTTGTCGTCTTTGACTTGGCGCTAAACTAGCTCCGTTATAGATCGATCGATTTGTTTCCTTGCAAACGCAGAGGATTTATTGTTTGTTTGGGGTTTTTTAAAGATTATTTTAAACGATAGCGAGGGTCATTTATAACGTATGTTTGCTTTATGAAAAGGCTAGAAAAGTATTATGTTACTTGATAAATGATTGTTTTCACAGAAGCTAACATTTAGCGTCAGTGCAACAAAGTCTGACCCCTCGGCCCCCCAAAAAGATAATAATTTCAAATGAAAAGTAAAATAGATAAACACCATCATTGACTCCATAATAGAGAAAAAATATAAGCGAAAAGAAAACACATTTTAGAGACAATACAAGTGCTTAATTTTGCGCAAGCCGAACCTGAAGAAGGAAAATGAATTGAACTCATAAGTAATTGCAAATTAAACTACATTCCATCCCATTAGGTTTTATATCACGTTCCTGAAGAAGGACATAACGTCGAACACATTCCATAATGCCATAACATTTCAGTTCCGAAATATTCGAGTCTCCATCAACTTTTTCCTTGCTTTGTTTTTTTTTTAAATCGTACTTAAAACAATGATGATGATGATGATGAGAAGGAAGAGGAGGGGGAGGAGGAGGATGGGGAGGAGGGGAAGGG